GTAGCTTTGTGCATAATTAAAAAAAACAACAAAAAACAAACAATAATTTTTTTTTATTTTACCTCAATGTAAACGAGTAGAAAAATAACACAAGTTCAATAAACAATTATACTCTCGTCAATAATAAAACAAAGTACAAATATTTTGCTCTTCGCATTAGTATCCCAGTATTTTGTAAAGCACAGTAACATTTTAGTCACCATACATTACATATGTACATATATTCTTATTATTATTTTCAAACAAATACTTAAATGTCAGTGATTTTTTGTAAAACATAGAACAGTTAATAAAAAATATTTAGAAAACAATTATATTTACTGCTTACAAAGTCCTTGTTTGCATTCATGAGTCGTACTTGCTAACCCTCGTCGTAAGCCTCGTCCAAATTCACATGTGGAGATGGAAAAATAAGAATTTTTATAGGCTTTATATATGCATTTTAGAATACCAAAAATTTTAAATTACTATACCGATGCCTCAAAAATTCACTGTAATTTACCAGGCTTCCTAACTAAATTGTATGTCGGTCTAAAATAATCCAATTTCTGTTCAGTAAATAGCCTTGATCGTAAAACTTCAAACTTTCCATTGATATAAGAGCTTTTCTTTCGTAAATAACTTAAGAAGACTCGCAGAATTACGTAGAAGTAATGTAGAACTTTCGATTGGTTATAAAGTTATTGGTATACAAAAGTACGAGTAGATAAACAAGTCTTCTCAAATGATGAAGTGGTGGGCGGAGACAATGTGATAGATGCGCTAAATATTAAGATATCTCAGCAAATAGAAAAGGTAGGAGTTTTTGTTTTTTTTAATTATAACTTGCCAATTTCGAAAAATTGAGTTTCTAATTCGAATAAACTATAGACGTTATATTGTGGGCGTCTGACCGAACCCAGAAGGCGACGTACCACGTAACCCACAAAAATCAATATTTAGACTCCCATATTTTGTAATATTTACTTTCAAATCAAGAAATCGACTAATGTATAATACTAAAGTTTGAATTATAATCTACAATTATTGACATACATTTATAAAGTAATAGTTAAGTATAATTTTGAATATAAGTCTACAAACGTGATGACATGCCCTCTGACCCCTGCCCGTGTCCATATAATTAAGAAAGGGTTTAACTCTGAACACATATACATCAAAATTATATTTTAATAATGGTAATAACAAAACTTGATATCCAGGTTATCCTCATGACTAAACTAGGATAACTTGTAGCTTCAAAACACATTTAGCCGTAAAATACAGTCCTTATTGCAAAATAAACATTTGGTATCTCAATTAGAACTAAAATGTATAGAACAGTAGTTTTCTGTATTGGAAATATGTCAAAATAAGGGTTATTTCTCATTTTGGCTAACAGTCAGTGTCGAAACAGTTTAAAATCAAATAAATCATTGTACTAAATTTACACAAAAACTTATATAATAGTAGTTCCCGATTATTATATTTAAAATACTATATCTATTTTTTTTTGCCACTAAAATTGTGAATTTCATTCAAAAAAAAGAAACGCGAGCCTAGCACATTTCTGTATTTTTTACTTGTCACTAAGGTATGAAGACGGCTTGAATAGGTAATGATGAAAACTTTGTTATTTTACTAAGTTAAACTCGTAATAAAGTTTTCTTCATTGCCCATTCAAGCCGTCTTCAAACTTCATTGTCTCAAAGCGGGTTCCTCGTCATGAAATTCGATTTCATACTTATCACTGAGTTGAACCAGTTTCGGGGAAATAACCTCGTTAGCATTAAACCAATGAATAAGACCAGGCTTCTTGTAATGGTGAAGTAAAAGCTATGTGTATAGCGTCTAAAATATTCTTTGCTTACCACAAGTAACATATATTGATATAGGATTTAGGAAATAAAAACAATTACTCATTTGTCTTCTACAAACAAACTTAGTGACAAGTGACTTATTCAGAAATATATTTGGCCTTACGTTTATCTCTCATTAAATTTCACAGTTTTGTAATACTTTTTTGAATATAGATAACTTGTGTAGAGTACAGAACATTCAAAACACCATACATATACAATTTGTACTAATTAAAGATTTGCCGAAGGTATACATGTGAATTCTGAAACTAAGGTAACGCCCTTCTTTATAATAGAAACTGATTACATTTGATTTCTCTTTTTATTCTTCTTTTTACAGATTGTGAAGATGATGATCGTTGTTGTATTTATCTTTGCTGTTTGCTGGCTACCCTATCACATTTATTTCTTGTTAGCTCACCATCACCCCGAGATTATTAGCTCCGACTACGTACAACATATTTACTTGGCAATTTACTGGCTCGCCATGTCTAACTCTATGTACAACCCCATCATTTACTGTTGGATGAATAGCAGGTAACGTTAGACGAAGTTCAAATATCCTTAAGCCTTCAGAATATCGTTATCCTTCAAATATAATTAAATGTAATATCTATAACTCAGCCTATTACGTTTTATATTTTATTAACTTTACTGATCAGTTGTTTTTAAACGATTACTTGTCATTTCGTGATTTCTGTGTAGCATAAAAATACGGCCTATTATTGTATAGACATCGTTTGAATGGTTCTTGATTTAAATCTTATCTATATTTTAGCATATAGGTTTGTTTTGTTTTCAACAAAGTACATATATTTCATATACACGCTTTAATAGTGTCACAGCGTTAGATACTGAGAAAAAGCAAGGGGCAGGAATTTTAGGAAATTATTTTTGGTGTGATAATTTTAACGGCACTTTTTAAGGAAGAATTACTTAACACTTTGTTAAGTTTTATACGTTTAAAACTCTTTAAGCAATATGCATCTAATATATATTGTTATATCTCACAATGCTCACTTTTTCTGTTATTGTCACTGTATCAAGTGAAACACTGAAAGTCGAACAAACATTTGCCAGTTCAATTCTCACTCATTTCACTTCCATCATAATTAGGAAGTACTGGTTTTAAGTTATCACAATTTTCAACTGAAAAAAACAACAACTTTAATCCCGTCCATTTTCTTTCTTTTACGTTGCTAATGCATTAAGTGCTCACATAAGTACCACTGGAATTAGACAGACACTCTATATAGATCCTCGCTCCAACGTTTTCCCGTAAAATATTTAACAATGAATATTATTCAAAAATCTAAAAAGTAAAGTGCATTAATAAAAACAAGATAGATAACTAATGTGTTGAGCTGTAGCGCTTTAATTGCAGCTATTCCCTGGTTATTATTACGTTAACACCTGTGTATTTAGCTTATTTTCTGCGTTATTTCATTCCCAGCAACTCGTGCGTTCACAGTGACGAGACAAATTAAAAAAAAAAACAACAGCAGCAAACCGATGACTTTGAACACTCGAATAAATGAAGCTCGTATGCAGCGATAAACGCTTGTGATGAAAAAATACAGATCTTTTATGTTGGTTAATTTAATATAGCTGTCACCCACATGTTCTGTTTTTTCTAACCTTACTTTCTCATACAATTTAGAATACTGTGAGGAAGATTACATTGTTTTGTATCTACACTATATATACAACGAAGTAATTCACAAGAGTTTATTACACTAATGTATTAAAGCAATTTTGAAGGGTATACGAACTCTAATAAGATTAAAATCTGGAAGAAATGTACCCCATCCAGTCGCTGTTAAACCTAATCTGGAACTGTAAAGTGCTAAGGAAAATCTGAATTAAAATTATTGAAAGTTTCTCCATCTCTTCATAATACATAAAAATATCTGCTATTTGCAGAAGCAAAAACTCAGCGCCTTCAATAATTTGATTTAAACATAAGAAATGTCCTCACAAACTATTTCATATTCTTCATTGCTTGACGTTCGAGGCGAAAACGTGCATAAAACACTTGGTAATAAGTAATGGATGTCATAATTTTTTATGCAAATTACATAGTAGCTGTTATACTTCTCGCTTTTATCAAGTTTTTTATCATTTGTAAGTCAACGTAGATTTTTAGATTCTGTAGTGTTTGTTTTTTAGGGTTTTCAGGGCTTAGGAAAAGGATTATGTTGAATATATTTGAGACAATTCTGATTAACATTATTATTTATTCAAACAAAGTGCCCAATTTCACGAAAGGATATCTTGTAAAATAAAGTGTGAAACGTTTGAGTTATAAGATATCGCTGTAAACAAAATATCTCTGTAATATGTTTTCATGCAATGTTCTTCACTCTGATAGCGACCTTGTAGCACATTACGGTATCTCTAACACTTATAAATTTAATAATAAACGAATTGCACTGTTCGCTCATTCTATGCCAGTTTAAGTCTACTGATCAACGGACTTTCCTTTATAAGCAGTTTCTGTTCCTTCTTTGGTTTTGCAAGAATGTTAAATTGTCCCCTACTTACAGGGTTATCACACTAATTTAGTGCGTGTTTCCTGATACAGGCATACAGGCTTGAAATCATGTCTCAATTCAACTTGACTCATATCGTTTAAACAGCCTTGAATAACATGATTTATAAGGCCTATTGGAAAGGCATTTTTTAGTAGAAGATTCTTAGTATTTTCTAACTCTTTTTAGAAACTTCATAACTTGCTGATTTATTTATCTGTCTGATGAACCAATATTTTAAAATCTTAACCACATTTGTTTTAAAAAGCAATGGTATAAAACTGTCAAAGTTGAAGTACAAAGTAGTGAAAGCCTTCTTACAAGAAATTTAATAATGAGGTGTAAGAATGTAAGTTGATGGTTTTGCTGATATCCAACTGTGAATTTGATATTAGGATGTCTACCGTTAAGATGATTTAAAAACTATCTGAAGATAAAAAAGGTATTATCTTCAGATCTACTATAATATACTGTTTTAGTGAGAAGCCAACATCTTTCACGGTGACACAGGAACAAATTAACGAGTGACAGGACTAATCTAGAACCTAGAGCAACACCATCAATTTGATCATATATATCATTGTCGAATAGGAAATCCTATGTTTTAGTGGCATAATTCATGAGTTTCGGGAATACATGCCTTGGAAATGTCATTTATACAAAAGTGCAGTACACAAATGTATTGTCCCATCTAATGGCATGCAAGTACGAAGGGGCACTATACCAAAAACAGCTCGGGATACTCCTTTTTTTTAAATTCAAATTATTTATATCTTGAGAAAACTCACAACTGTCTATGATACTTGATAGTTTAATTCATTTCTTATTAACAGTCCTAACAACTTTAAACCATAAACACGCTAGTTCATTATTTTATGTACCAATGTCAGACACTACCGGTCTAACAGAACAACCACGGATTAAATACCAATGAAAATATAGTGTTTATTAACTTGATAAAGGAAACAGTGTCGATATTTTAAACAAAACC